TGGGGGGTTTAGGATTGGTTTAGGCTTGCTTGCCGGCTTGCTTGCGCTGGCAGGGTGGCGGTGGAAAGAAAACATTTCCAATCCAGCATGATACAGATCCTCGCAGATCCTTAAATAGTATTTAGTATGTAGTATGTAGCACCCCCTGACAATTTGTCGCAACGTTTGCATCTGAGCAGCCTCCCCAGCATCTCAATTACGGCATCTCAATCGCACTTCAAGGCGATTTTACAGCAGAAAAAAGACCCACCCCGAATCGGGGCCTCGTAGTCCAATGCCAGGCGAATGCGCAGCGCGCTGTCGAACTCATACCTGCGTGCACGGCAGCCTCAGCCAACATAATGCGAAATAATATGTGGGGTCAAAAATGCGTACCCCAAACGGAACCCTAGTAAATTGAAAAAAGGGACTAAAACCTGCGGTCCCCTGAATTAATTTTGACCCATACCCATATGTTGGATTCTGGCAAACATAGTGATCTTTAAAATCGCTGCACCAAGGATCCCACTTGCCCCTCCACGTCTGACGATCAGATTTCCAGCCGGCCGGCGGTCATGCACAGCCATGCGTTCTGCTCACCTTGTGCGGTTGTCATTCGTTGCAGGATTTACCATTGTTTTCCTTGGTGCCATCTTGAACACTAAGGTCAAAATGACTTGTTGGACGTGGGACAATTGGGGCTCGTCCCCTGGTATTTGGTTGGGACATCTGGCCCCCCATGTGCCGAACCGCATATGGACACGTGTCAACATAGGAGGACCCCAAACTTGTTCCTCTTGACTTCCTTTATGCAGCAGTAAAAAAACACCCTCAAACAAAACACAAACACACATACACACACACACACACCCACACACGCTGGGCACGTGCTCACAGCGCCGCTGTTGTTGGCATCAATGGCCTCAGAAACGAAAGGGAACGTGCGGCTTGAGACGATGATTTCTCCGACCCACGCTTGAAGTGTCAAACCAAATTGGGGGCTTAGTGTCCAAGACACCAGCTCCAGGAATTCTGCGAGGAAACTTGGCAAATTCCAGTGATACAATTCATGATCTTGGCTCAGTTCCTTTTGGAATCTCCCCGAGCTGGCTTCTTGACAACTGGCATTGCACCTCTTCGCTATTTTTTCCGTCCGCCAAAACCCTCCACCCAGAAATCCAGAAACCCAGGCAAGGGACCAAAGACCAAAGGCGCGTGTGGGTAAACGCAACTGAAAGCGTTTTGCCTTTTTCGAGCCGCAAAAGGAACTCGTTGAATTTCCGCAGTCAGGGGGCCAAGCAAATCTCCAGGTAATTCTACATCAGCCACTTACCAAGTTGAAGTGCCACACAAAAACATAAACCTGGAAGGGACTAAACGCTCGTTTCTCATGGTTCCCGGTGTTTGCGCCTCCGCTTTGGGAGCTGACAAGCCTCTCTCGCCCATGGGCGAGTCAGCGATCGCCGCCAGCAAGCAAGAAAACCCTCAGCGACACCCTGGAAACCAAAAGCAGCCCCCCTTAAAACCCCCCTCCCTTGGCTGTGGGTCAATGCGTACCCAAAATGGGTTGGGAAATGGAACCAAAGACTAGAACCTGCGGTGCTGTGGTTTTATTTTGACCCCTCCCTATATCGTACTTTGAAGGGGAAGGCAAACCGAATGGCGAAGTTCCCCAACTACTCCTCGCCTTGTTCTCCCACGATCCCGAGCACCAGGGGAAGGGAGGGGAGTGCGGGTGGATCTTATGATGCATCCCAAATGTCCCAGCGAAGAGCTCAACTTTTCCGAAGGGGCGATTTGTCAATGGGGGAACGGCCATGTCTCAAACGACTGCAACAGGTTATCAAAGGTGTAAACGAGGCGCATGCCCTTTCACCATGGAACTGATCACCGAAACCTACCACACTCCCTGCCCACAACTCCACTTTTGTTATTTTAGTCTTCCCCAAGACTTTCAAGAGGTCGTGTTGGGGAGATTTTGTGTGTTCGGTTGGTCCTTCAAAGGGTGTGTCTCACTTCCTGAGAGGATTGGCCACCAAGTATATCTCTGAAAGGAAACCAACCAAATGTGTCGCACTTTTCAGCCAAAGCGCCTTGAGCGTGTCGCATGTTTGAGCCAAATCTGTCATTTTCAACGTTCCTTGCCTTTCCTTGGTTGACGTTGGGGATTCCCACTAAGCAACGAGAAGAAAACTTGCAAAACGTTTCATAACAACAACCATGTGAAGCCCCCGAAAATGACTTGTGATGCCTCAAAACAACGGACAGGATGAATTGATCAGGCCTGGTTTCATTCCCAACAACAACCATGTTTCGAAAAGGCGCCACAAGGACCACCCTGTTGAGCCATTTTTTTGTAGTCCCAAGGCGGCGGGCCAAGAAGGCCAAGCGAGGGCCTCCACAGAGCCTGCGAGAAAAGGCGTGGAAAGTCATTCGGACCCAAAATGGCGAAAAGGAAGGAATCTCCAGGGGTGAAGGCAGGCAAACGGGACAAATGTGAATGTAAGGTGAATCTCAGAGGTTTGAAAGTAGATGCACTTGAAGCCCTTTCCTTTTGCCTGCGGCCGGCTTCACATTCAAAACACACATCCCAAACGCAATCCATGGCCCAGGGAAAATCGCTCCAACCTTTAAGTCCTCTTGGTGAAGCCGTTTTTAGAAGGGCGCGAAATGCGGACCGTCGCAAGTTGGAGTTGGGAATCCAAAAGTGGTGCTTAAGCCATAGATACCAATCCCCGTCCCTTGAAATGGGAGGGGGTGTCCAGGTCTGGAGGCTCCACCCCAATCAGCCAACTTGAACAATTGGCCCATGCGATTCCTTCCACACTCCCATGTTCAAAAGCTAACTGTACAACGCTATGAAACCTGCGAAAAGTAAGAACCCCTGGTTGAGCTCACTGACTGCTTAACTGACAGGTGACCTGCCTGAACGCAAGACATACTGCAACCAACCCCGAGTCACGTCTCATGAAGCTGACCAGATCCTTATGCAGCCCTTTCCGAGGATTCAAAGGGCCCTGAGCCACACAAATCCCGGGTCAACCGATAGCTTTGCATGTTGAACCCATGCCTTCAGGTTTGAGCAGGGATTGACTCGAAACCCTGCGTCTCCCGAAAACTCGAAAGCAGACACAAAAATACGAAGCCATTATGGGAAATAACACTTGTGACACCAACACAGAAACGCCCATGGGCCAAAACGGGACCACCATGCGAATTGCTGGCGCAATGAAAGCCCCTCAGCCTGGCCAACACCACCACCTGAGTGCGACTGATGCCCTGGATGAATACAGGGTTTCCTACAGAATGCACCCCCCAAACCACCTGTGCCAATCCTTCAGGTCGGCCGGGGACTTCTTGACTGAACCAAATGCGTGCTGATAAAAGGGACCCAGCGAGTTTTGCAGACCTCAATTCCATGGGAAGGAAAACCTTCCGGGCGAAAACGACATGGGCCAATCAGCAGTGACCCAACCACAATCATAAAATATCCCCAAATCAAACATGTGAAAATGGGATTTGGGTTTGTCTCACCAAATAGGGGAGGCGACCAAAAGCTTGGTTTGCTTTTGCCCTCAAAAACACACACCCCGATTTATTCATCGGGCACTAGGGATTTATCAATCGAGCAAATGAAGCTCTTGCCACGAGTACCTCGAATCTTATGCCTGCTTCACCGTCTGAGACATGTGCCTGGTTTCTCAAAGGACATTAACATGTGCTTGGGCTTCCCTTTAATTCCAGATTGGATTGGCCAAACACAGTCCAAACTTTCTATTTGCCACTGAAACGGTCCACACCGTTTCAAGTAACTAAAGTCCAAACGGGAAGTCAGGAGGTGAGTGAAAGGACCACCTATGCCATGTGTACTGGGCTGCCCGATTTCAGATAACTTTTAGTGGGTGAAAGCATCCTCTCAAGCCGAGGGCTCCGACGCTTCCATCTTTGCTTCCACAACCTCCCCAGTCCACGCGACCGTTTCTCGTTCACCCCATGTGTTTGATCAACCCCCACGTGGTTGGGCTTCCTTCCTTCAACCGAGGGCTCCGACATTTGCTTGAGACCGCTAAGCCATGGGCCAGGGCTGCTGCGCCCGAGTGCCCGCTGAGCCTACCCGCACCCGACTCTGGGCTCTCCGTGTTCAGCTTCTGTTGGCACCAAATGGAAAGCCCTGCAAAGGGTATCTTATAACAAAAGATGCTTTTTTGTGGTAGTTTCCATGTACCCTGCTTTAACCTTCTTTTGCTGGGCGAAATGGAAACTACACTAAAAAACTAAGATGGCTGGACACCACCGTTGAGAATGCAGGATTTTGGAGCCTCGACAAAATGGTCCAAAATGACATCCTCAAAAGTCCTCGAAGTGGCCTAGCTACCAACTGTGCCAATGTACCAACAAACAGCCTCAGCTGTACTTGGCACCTATGGGTGAATGAAGGGTTTCATCAAGGACAACCACGGCTTTGCACGGGGAACCGAAGCGAACAAAGTGCCAAAAACACCCTCAAGGTCAAGAATTGACCAGGTCCTTTGGCATCCTTTGCCTGGACGGTCCTGATGGTGGCCTTACCTTCACTCCTTTGCAAATTGCGCAGATGAGCGAATGTGCAGGCGAGGACTTCAACAGTATTCTGTGGTTCCAGTTCCCCTCCAGACATGTGGAGGTTCCAAAGGTTGCTGCAAACACGTAAGTGTTGAGGAAATCGCCATTTTTCCTACTGGCGTACAGGCAGGAGTTTGAATGGCATACCTTTCCTGAATGGCACATTGCTCCAAAGGTATGGGTGACTTAACCAGTTGCTATGCGAACCAACTCTTTGCCGGTTGAACAAGGGAACCATATCTCTTGGGGCTTGACTGTCTTTTGGCTTTGCCACGCAAAACATTTGGGGGCCACTGAACTGGGGAATCCTGCAATGGCATTTCTCTAGCCCTATATTCTCGGCTTTAGCAACTTGAGAGAGAGTACTTGGGTTGGCTTGCTGTTGGGAAACTGACGCCGCCCATGGGGATCCGGACCAAACCCGATGCTTTAGCACCTACCCCTAGGTTGCAACCGGCGGTCAGCGTCAGCGCCTCAGTGCCTCCAGGGCTGCTGCCGCCCTGGACTTGGTTCCGCCTGAGTCGACCGAATCGTCCGCGCGAATGCAGGGGAAAAGCAATGACTATGGACTTGAAAAAGGAAACCCAGCAACTCCAAATGACTGGCTCATTTGTGTTCTTAAGAGCTTGAACTTCAAGTGTCCTAGCCATTCCAACAAGAAACACATCGAAGTTCAAAAGCTTTAGACAGGTTCGCACCTTTCGAAAGATTCCCACCTTGCCCATTTGGTTTTCCACCTGTCCCATGAGTCTTGAGTCAGGTTGAGGTCCACCTGCCCACGTCGCTCCTTCTGCACGGCTGGGTTGTCCACAGCGCCAGCCTTCCTGAGATGCCAGCTCCTCGAGCTCGGTGTCAGAGCTGGAGTGCAGCCAAAGCAAGGGGAGAGCTGTCTGAAATTGTCGGCTGAGCGACTTTGGATGTCTCATTTAACCCTGGAAGCTTGAAAGCTCGAAAAGCTGGCCAGCCAGTTTAGCCATCATTGCGTGAGGAAATGCTCAATGTCCATGCCATGTAAGTTCTCCTTGCGCGCAGGGCGCAATCTCACGAAGTGATTTAAACGGGCGAAGGTCACACCAAAGCATGGCCAACTCTCAAGCTCTGTCTGTTGCGGCCTTGCATTGCTTGCGCTATAGTTCCTGAAGTGGCATGAAGATGAGCTACTCAAAAACCTAGGATCAAGCAAGTGTTGTGTGAAGAGTAGCTGCAGTTCTTGCAATGGACATTGACTCGTTGTTGGAAAAATCAAAAGAGCTGGCTCTTGCACCCCAATCAATCTTGCAAATTACAGGGTGCCAAACAATTGTCAACCAATGTCAAGCAAGGCCTGCACGAAAACAAAGCCAGTCTCAGTTGGAAGACGGTTCAACAAACAATGCACAAAAACCCAAGGTTGTCCGATCATAAAACACATGTTTGATTCTCCCCATGTAACAAGTTTAATCTTCCATAGGTGTAAAAAAAAAACATAAGCCACAAGCTGTTTGATTCTGGTCCCCATTTAACGGGTGAATCTTCTGTAGGCTCAAAAACCATAAGCCACAAGCCACCCCAACAGTGAAACCGCGTCCCAGGCTCACAGCTCGCTCAGTGCCAGACCCATGGTGAGCCGTTTCTCGAGCCTTGCGAGCCGAGTGTCGCAGCCCTTGTTCTTCTTCTTTTTTTTTTTCTTCGGGTTCACAATTTTCAGTGGGGAACGCACACAAACAGCAAAAAGGGATCTGGGTGCACCTTCAAATAAACCATGTCGAAAAAGAATATGCCATACCTGGGGAAGTGCCACAAGCCCCACCACCTCTGGAAACTGGAGATGCCAAGCTCACACGGGATAAACAGAGCCCGAAAAATGATATCCTGGCGCTGCCCACGGAGTCTGACTTTGGATCTCCGGGCTGCGGACTGCCAAGTCTGGCACGGGCTCACTGAGTTGACCACAAAAACCCAGGGGGCCCAGTACTTTTCCCATGTCCTCTTGGGAACAAGCAAATTTGACCGCGGCTTACATGGTTATTCCCTTGTAGGCTTGGTGCGCTACCATGTGCATGAATATCAATGATGGCAACATAAAGGTAGCAAAACGGATGTGTTGAAATCGCTCCTGACTTGTGTGAATGACTACTTTGGTGCCGGGAACTTTGCCGATGGAAACGGTTGTCCGGCTTGGCCGTTCCCGACCCCCCTGCTTGGCAAGCTTGAACATGTCAAGTCGGTAGCAGCCAAGTACACAAACGGGGCAAGGCCCAAAACTACTCCAGTCACCTTCCAGCCGTCAGAACTTCCAGGCATCCAGGCATCCAGCAACCAGAAGGAACTTTTATTGGGTGTCCCGCTCTTGATTTCTTAAGGCAACCTTAACACAAACCTCCATTTGCTTAAGTCCCCTGGAAAAACAACCAGTATGAAACCAACAGGGGAAAACAAAAAATGTTCTCAACCAAATGGAAGCGTTATGCTTGATCTGCCTGAAACATGTCCCCGCTGGGAAATTAAACAATATTCTTAATACACAACATATGTCCAGTAGTCATAGATTCCCTTTGAAACCAACAACAGGGGAAAGCAACAAATATTCTCAACCAAATGGAAGCTTTATGCTTGATCTGCCTGAAACATATCCCCGCTGGAAAATTAAACAATGTTCTTAAGCAAACAGTAGTCATAATAGTCATAGATTCCTTTTGAAACCAACAGGGGAAACTAATAATATTATAATCAACTTAAGATAATAATAACCGTAAGCAGTAAACTTATAATAATAATATGATAACAATAATAATATTCTTAACCAAATGGAAGAGACAGAGGTCACCGATTCCTTGGCTCCCCGCTGTGTCGCGCGACTCTCCGCCGCGTGCAGCAAATGCATCAGCTCCGCCGCCTGCGAGAGAGACGGCCGGCATTTTGTTCAGGCGAATGGCCCGGGCAGTGGGCTAGGTGGATCACAAATGGATTGGATGTGGCTGTGGGTCAAAAATAGGTACCCCAATCTTACCAGTTTCTTCCTGATGCCCATTGTTTTTTGGCTTGATGCTTCAACAAATACCCATCTGGCCGTGGGTCAAAAATAGGGTAACCCCAAAATGGGTTGCCCTGGTAAGTGGAAACATGGGCTAAAACCTGCTGTCACCTAGTGGTTGAATCTTGACCCATACCCATGTCTCTGATCCCCACTCGAAACATTTGCTAGGGGCAAACTGTAGCTTCCAACATCTGAAAGGGTAGAACCAAAGAACAGCAACAGAGGACCGCCTTTTGGCCCAAATGTTTGTGTTTGTTGTTTTTGTATTTACGCTCCCACCCTTTTCACATGTAACCTGACTGGACCCGCTGCCTTAATAAGGAAAATGGTCCAAACCATTTGACCCCCTGAGTGGTGGCAGGGTACTGAAAACCCAATGCACAGCCCGGATAAGCCCGGAATGGGGTGAGGTTCTGAGTCCTGAGCCCCGCGTGGATTTTGAAACTCGTTTTCAAGCAAGGTGAAGACGCTTCGCCTGCGACCTCGAAAACAAGCAGGGGATGGATTGGCCTCTATGTCTCTGATCCCCAGCACTCGAAGCTTTTGGTGGTGAAATTGTGTCTTTCCAAAATATGAAATTGAGAGGTGGAACCAAAGAGCAGCAAGAGACGCGTTTAGGCAACTGACGTCTAACTACCCCCTGTGATTGGCGGGAATCGAGCAGATTTATCAGGTTGGGGCAGTAGCTTACATGCTACAACTCTTCCAGACCCGAAATTAAGGGACCAAGTAGCAGACCGTCATCGGTGAGCTTGCCATAAGGCTTCCGGGTCCTTTCGGCCATGTTAGCCCAGACCCAGACTTGGCCTACATGGAGAGTTTTTCTGCAATCGCTCATGGCCAGCACATGACGCATGTTGGCCGCGTGTCAATTCCAAACCCATCAGCTTATTTCCAAGGGTGATGTTCCGAAGCACTCAGAAACGGTGGCATAGGGTCACGACCGGAGATCAGCCACATACTTGTTGAACATACTCGATTCCGTTGTTTGCCTCGCTTATGAGTCACCAAATCCGAAGTGCCGGTATCATGCATCCAAGTGCGATCTCCTGACCAAGCCGCCCAAGTCAGCTGAAAAACAAAACCACGGGAACCACTCCGGCACGCCGCCTGGTCTTGCCACGCATCTCTCTTCGCCTGCGCCCGCAAACCCGCGGCCGCTCCCGAGGGCTCCCATAGACCTTCACAAAGTGAATGGCGCCACGGAGTCAATATGAACTGAATAGTTCAGGGTGTCACGGCGCACAAACCATACGACTGCGAGTTGGTGTTTAAGTACTGATGTACTCCTAGCGCTATATCTGCATTTGTTTGCAATGGAAAGTGGATTTCACCAAAAAAAACGCTTCATAGGGCGCATGTACTCAGCCTGGGAAGAGACCACTTGAGCCAAAAAGCCTTTATTGAAACGAATTCTCCCGATACGTGTTCATGGTGGCCCCAAACCCAGTCTGCTACACCGAGGCTCTCCGATACTCGGACGCCGCCTGCACGCTTACCTACAGCTGGAGACCCTCCCCAAACCAAGCAGCGCATGCACAAGAAGGGAAGCACCTCCAAACACAAAACAAAACTTGTTGGTTCTCAGCAGGGAATGAGGAATAACCCCTGTAAAACATCCGCAATGGTTTCCTTCATGTGGGAATCCCCGTCCGGTTCGTTCCCAAACCCTGGGCCATTCCCTGAGAACCAGCAGGAAACGAATGCCTCAAAAGAAAAGACACACCAAATTGGAGGCCCCACCAAGGAAAGCAGGAGTCCGGCGCCCTCGAACGAAAGAATAAAAAAGGGCCCGTTTCCACCCCCGGTTCCCCCCTCCCCCAAAAAAAAGCTGACCCCTCCCTCAAAAGCAAGCACCGCTGACAGGTTTCTGAAACCGCTCGCTTCTCATGGGTTTCGGGGCTGGCCAAAGCACACCCGTTTGGCAAGCATTCGAGCCGGACGCGGACGCCACTCCCCGACGTTTCGCCTCCGCACCAAGAATAAGATCTGCCCAGATCCTCTCTGATTTTTTTGGGTGAATACCAACAAAACACCGAAAACAAGGTGATCACCGGAAAACCAGAACCCAGCAAACGAGCAGAACCCCAGAAAACCCAGTTTCGGCCGAAAACCCCCAGGAAAACCCGCCCGCGCTTCGAAACCTCGAAACCTCACCTCGACGGCTTCCAGGGACGTGCGCTGCTTCGTCAAAGCGGAGGCTAGGTCCAGAAGCTCGCGGTGGGTATCTGTCGGCTTAAGGTCGACCCCATCTGGCCACTGAAGCCCGGGGCGCTGGTTTTTGGTTCCAAAAGTGGGCGGATTCCAAGCACTAGACCCAGAATCGGACACCGCCCTATGAATAAACTGGGGCAACGTTACCCTCCCATGGATGTGGCCCTTAAAACTGGGGACTGGCAAGCACACTGCAATGGACATAGCCACCGCTGCTGAGTGTTTAGCCTGTTGGGGGCTGAAGAAGCCAGGCGGCTTAAGAAACTAAGGGGCTCTCATCTTGAGAGCATGCACAAATGCCCATGATTCACTCTGTTATGGTCTTGCGAGTATCGATCACTGGGCTAGTGAAAGCCACATCGTCAAATGGCTGTGAACTTCAACATGGAATCCTAAGGAAGTCCACTACAGGGTCCAAGCAACTAAAATCCATTTGCATGTGCCAATTTGAAAACCACAGGGGGAACTGATACGTAATTTTGACCCAGCCTGTGAGCGTTTCGCTGGTGAGATTGTGGGATGCTACATAACCCACGCTTTGAACCTATTTCTCGAAGGTATGTATGAGCCCATGGCCCTTTTGGACTCTTTTTGGGGGGCTGGTTGCCCATAATGAAACCACAGCTCACTCTCAGCTAAGCAGTAAACTTCATACCGGGGGTCCATGTGCAAATCTTGGGTGTTGGTGCTTTGACGGCAACTTTGATTCCCAGGTTGGCTCTCAAAAGCAAAAGGAATCGACCTTCAAACTGGTTCTACGCCCATGGGGTCCGGAGACCTGCTTTGATCCGAGATCTGAGAGACGTGGGCTTTCCAATGTCAAACGGATTTTGCAATGGAATTCACCTGAGGTTACTTCATACTTCCAAAGAAAATACGGTGGTCATTCTGGGGTCATCTCCCAGTGCAGTGAACATGCTTGCCGTTGAGACGTTGGGCATGGGTCTCGAAAAGCTGTAGGAAACAAAGCCTAAACGCGCGTGTCTTTATTTTGGGGACACCCCGCCCAAAAAAAGATGAGGGTTTTCCTTTTGGTCTCCTTCTGAACCACAAAAACGGGCATACCCTGAAAGAAAGCCAGACCCAAATATCATCTCACTTATGCTACGCGAACGGTTGCCTCGTGGTTTCGCTAGGACAGCTGCTCCCAACACGACAGGGAAATCCCATGTGATGACCATAAGTATCATGTTGCACATATTCGCCGCGCACCATTTCAAGGCCCGAAGTAAAATCCCCACAGCAACTCTAAATGTGGTCTGATTCCCAACTAAACCCAGAACTGGCAACCCCCTATTAGCTGGGGTTGAATCTGGGGAAAACATTAACCCTCTAGAGTTGCTCAGATGCCCAGTGGATTTCCATGGGAAATACCGGCAGGAAAACCCAACTTGATTTCAACCAAAAAGTCAAAGTCTAAAAATCCCACCCAATAGCAGTCAAGTGGGCCAAAATCCAAGCCACTGGCAGTCAAGTTACGGTCACTGGGCAAGTTGGGCTCAAGCTGTGAGCGCTTGCGACCTTCTGAGCCGCCGCGCCGTCGCTGGGTGGCGGAAGGCCCAAGACCTCTTCGAGGCAGGCCTCGCCTAAGTGGCGGCGCCGGAGGTCGGAAAACACCGGACTGTCCTCCCCAGAAATGTGCCTGGTTTCTCGAAGGACCTCAACATGTGTTTACTGTTTGGGCTTCCCTTTAACTCCAGAGTGGATTGGCCAAAAACAGTCCAGACTTTCTATTTACCTTTGAGATGGTCCAAACCATTACCTCAAGTCCGAAACGGGAGTCTGGAAGTGAGTCAAAGGACCATGGGTTGAATCACCCACCCATGTGCTTACGTCCTCCAGTAGACAGGTTAGAATAAGGGTACCCGACTTTTTTCTGTAGTCTATTTTAGTAGGGGAACCCTCCCCCAAGAAAGGGCAAAAGGGCACTACTGGGGGACCTACGCGCACCGCCCAAGCTTTGGTGGACACCAAACTGGGCTGCCCTCAGATCCCCTGCTGAACGTGACTGACTTTCAGTGGGTTACATGGGAATCCAACCACTAAACCCTGAAAAGCTACAAGGCGAAAGGGATGGCTGGGAGCCACCAAGCAAAATGATCCCATTGTTCAACCCTGCCTCTCCCCCCCCGGTGGTTTGCTTTTGGCCCCATGCATTTTATGGTACCACCAAAGTTACCGAGGTGCTAGGTAGCGCAGAAGCCCGGGGCGGCCCTAGTGGATGACTTTGACCCAAGCGAATGAATGGATCGGAGCCGCGGATGGCACAACCATTGACTTTGGCTGAGTGCATGTCTCACTTCTTGAGCGACCAAAACAAGTCCACACTTCTTAGATTCTTGGCCACTTTAAATCTTGTCTTCCCCAACAGTGACTGAGGTCCATCGCAGGAAGTGAGATGTTGATACCCATAGTTGCCTTGGGATCTTTGACCCACTTGTGGTGTGAAACATTATCGTCGCGGGCACCGCCCGTTTCGCTCGCAGTTCACAGCTGCATCTCGACCCAGCCCGTGGCCAGTAGTGACACCCGGCGGCATTCCTCCACTCTTCCTTCAAAGGCCTCCGACAGGAATTCCGGCACAGAACGGTCTCGAGCAAAGTCCGCTGCGGTCCAGCCCCTCTCGTTCCGCAGCTTCAGCTGCGCCCCTGCAGCTATTAGAGCCGCTGCGCACTCATAGTTGCCCATCATTACCTTGGTTGCTGTTAAAACACTCTGCAAAAAGCTTCACTTTTTGTGGGTTTAGCAGAAAACCCCTTGATTCCCCCAAAAGTTAAAGTCTAAAGATCCAAGCCAATGGCAGTCAAGTTACGGCCATCATCAAAGGGGTTGCGCCTGGCGAGTGGTAGTACTGAGTGCTGGTGCTTGTGACTCTGCCCAGGCGATGCTGCAAGCTGAAGACTGCGCTGAAGGCTCGATGGAGAAGCGTGGACTTCACCATCCTAGGCTGGAACACTCGGACCCCAGCATTTATATATATATATATATATATATGTATATATTTGCCTGGTTGGTGGAGAACAAAGGGACACCAAAAAAGCAAAAAGCGAAAAGGGGAGCCAATTCTGGGGAAGCATCTTCATCTGACAAAACTGATCGTTGACATCGGCTTTCATGTCAACCAGCCGGCCAACTGTCTCCGCACCTGCCCAAACGGAAAATCCGAGAATCGCCTCGGTGGGATTGAAGGCGTCGCCGGCCTGTCTGAAAAGCTCACCAATAGCTTCCAACCCTCCGGAATAGCTCGCTGTCATCAGGGCATTGATCCCGAAAGCATTTCGCTGCAGCAGGTTGCACCGAGCTTCGGCCAGGAATTTGATCGCCTCCCCATTGTTTGCACTTGCTGCGCAAGAAAGGGGCTGGAAAAACAGGCCGCAGTCGACTCTGGCTTTCGCCTGGATTAGAACCTGGGCTGCTTCGTTGCATTTGAAGAGGCAGCAGATGCAAAGAGGCGAGGTGCCGGGTTCAAAGCCCAAATCTGGGTGGGTTCTCTTGGTGCCTTTGTTCGGATCCGCTTTCAATGCCAAGAGGTCCTGAACCAGCAATGGATCCCCACCCAAGGCAGCATAGTGCAGGGGCGACCATCCACCCTTGTCAGTCTCCCAGATGCCTTGGAAGCCGTTCTGGTGGAAAAACTGCTCCACCCGAGGAAAATCGACGTCGCCCTCATTGGGTTTGATGGGCTCAAAGTACAATGGCCCAAAGGAGCCCGAAGCCAATCCCTTGAGCATCATGGCTTGCTGGTTCAGCAAGGAACGATAGCCCAGCCAATCCTTTGCTCGGAGAAGGCTGAGGATCTTCCGTCGGATCACGGCCACCAGCACCGGTCTCAACTTCCAACGATCCTCCGCCAGGCTAAAGAAGCCTTCACCAACGGGACTGGCAAAGCGTAAAGAAAGATTGGTACCTGAAATGATCTCCAGGTCTGAGGGGCTCCTTACAATTATCCAAGAGGAATCTTGCAGAGACAGCTCCCGGAAAGTTCTCTCAAGACGGCACCAGCCCCTCTCCTGCCAAGTGGACGGCGAGATGAAATCAGTCCCACTCGGATTCTGCGTGGGAGGAATAAGCGCAAAAAAGAACGTGCATTGGTCCACATATGCTGGGATGCTGTAGATGGCATTCAGCAAACTGCTTCCGTCGGCGGGATTTCCCTCACCAAACATGGTGACATTGGTCTTCTGAGGGCAGGAAAAATAATCATACCAGAAAAACAGGGTCTCTGCCAAAAGGCTGGAAGCTAGCAAAGGTTTGGCGTGTGGATCAATGACCTCTGAAAGCTGATCCACAGGTATTTGGCGCAGCTTGCCGCGCATCATGTTCTTGATCGCCTGCTGCAAAACCCTCATCTGCTTGAACTCGGGGTCTGGGTGCTGCGGGGTGACCCACTGGTGTGAAACAAAGGCCGCCCTACCCATGGTGCTGTGGAACTCTACCAGGGCATCCTTGGCCTTGAGCTCCTCGTGTGGCTCGATGCGGCTCATCTCCAGCAGCGTGGCCAGCTCCACGGTGTACATGGGGAAGCGCATAGGTATCCCATCCGCCTCCCCCTCCATGGCACTGGCAAACTCGCCCAAAGGCGTCACTGGGGCAGCGCCACAAGAGCACATGGCCGGTTTCCGGCCGGCGACCTACTTCGAACTGGCCCCAGTTTTGGGGCGTGGGGAGGCTGAAACTGCAAGCCCGCTGGGCACTTCTCATCAGGTCTCTCTGAAGTTGATCCGGGAGCTCAAAACCTGGGCCTTGACGAAACCGATGCCAACATGGTTCTCTCACCTGAACAAGTGAGTCTATGACCCCTTTGAGCACGCCAATCCAAAGGGACACTCATTGAAGAAGCAGTCAGTCAAAACGGCAAACCGGGGAACAACATGACAGTGGCTTGGAAGCTGACAATTGGCCCAATTTGTTTCTGAGTCTGGCAATCTGATTACCCCGTTCCCGCTGACCCCATGATTTTACGATTCATGATCATATCACCCTCGAAAATGGGCAGCTTAACGGACAACGACGCCATTTTCCGGCTTCCACCCCCAAAAGCACAGTCAAAAGACCCCATTCACCAGCAACCCCACCCTCCACCTCCGCCACCCCCAACCCCACCCCCCCAGTCCCAGTCCTCTGGCCCAGTCCCGTCCGAGGTCGCGACCCAACCGCAGCCGGTCCTCCGCTTGCTGCAGCTCCAGCGC